AGTGGTGTAGGGTAGAGTATCAGATTCAAAATCCAGAGTTGATGTTTTTAAATCATACAATACACACTGGAATGGTTACTGTTAACAACACACCAAGAAAGCAGTTATCTGGTATGACTTAGGCACATGTTTAGGTCTCTTAAAAGTGCTTAAATGTTTTAGATATGTATGTGTCACTAAAGACTAGAGAAGCTTAGATACAAAATGTATATAGAATGGATGTAAAATGTGTAGTTAACTAATTTTCTTTTGATTTCAGAGTTTGATAAGGCCATCAATACATTCTGGGTATCGTGAATCAAAGACAGTGCAGACAGAATCTGAGACAGGTAATGTGTATACATACATACAGTAAACTCTGCCATATTTAGGGGACCTCTGTTATATCTGGATATTGTTGTTTCCAAGAGGCAACCATTTTGAAAACAAGTGTCAGGACCACGGCAACCACAGCAACCACATCAAAATAAGCGGTATATCGTCACTGTAATCAGTTTCATGTATTTAATTATCACCTACGGTGTAACAAATTTATAGAGACCTGTTAGAGTGTGTAACAGTGTACACTCAAACAGTTTCACTGTAATTGTAAGGATATGGTTCACAATATGACTAGTGGCCTGTAATATACATGATGTAGATGGTATTATCCCGCTCAAAGATCAAGGGAGGTAATTCTCAATAAAAATGTGTCTTCAAGAAATTTAATCATTTCGTCAGTCAAAACTATTTAATGTATATGTATTTTATAACATAATTATTTGATATTTCAGGTTGCTTCGGCAAGACTGGTTCCAAATCGAAACTGGAAAAAATGTTTACGACGAGAAATAAACACAAATTTACAGCTCGTGATGTAAGTTGCGTGGTTACTTATGAATTCTGGTGTAAGCACAATGATCTGACTTTTGGATATGTATAGGACACTCTGGTCAAGATTGTCAATTTAAATTTGTTGTTTAAGAATAATATGTTTGTCAACATCTCTGTGGCTTATCCATTTAGTGAATTACAGCTATATATGATTCGGGGGGGGGGGGGGGGGGTTTATGGGAGAGGAACATGTGCAATTCACATTGCACAAGGTTTTATTTTAGCAGGGGATTTTACCAATTTATTGTATTTGTAGGTCCTTTTTTCTTGCTTTTGAAAATCTATTTTTTTTTTTATGATCTAGCTATTCTTGGTGGTTGAATTGGTGGGGGGGTGGGGGGTTGTCCATATTTACAATTGACTTAAGGGTGCATTATTTTGATAATGTTTTCCCTCAAATGTACTGTGGACAAATCTGAATTCTAATGAGGATGTTTTTTTATTACACTTGGGTAGGATAATTATGGATCAGTTGTTGGTATTTGCTATGACTCTTCTAAATATGTTTTCTGTAGTAGTTTTTTTGATCCGCTTATAAGGCGAGGATAGGTGTTATAACCTTGTGAATTGGGAGAGAAAAACTAGACTTATGAGTGAGAAATTATATTAATTTGTACTGTTTATACTATAGAGTGTGAGGCTGGATGATAAAGTGAGATATCAACAGTTGATTCAGAAATTTACCACAGTGCCATTGGAGGAGGAGAAAGATAAAAGTAAAATTAACGAAACTATCAAAGATCCAGTAAGAGTTCCACAGTTACCAAGGTAAAGTATATTTTAATTTTTTTTAGTCCCCTACCGGTTTACCGGAGGGGACTTTAGGTTTACCGTCCGTCTGTCCGTCTGTCTGTCCGTCCGCACTCACAGGAGAGTAATTATGTGGCTAGAGGGACAATAGGTTCTCTTTGATGTCATTCATTCCGTAATGCTTTTATGTGGCTATTTTCTTTTGCGTGGCTAAAAGAACAATAGAGTAGCCACATAATTACTGTCCTGTGAGAACGGCCGTCCGTCTGTCCGTCCGTCAGTCCGTCCGTCCACAAAACTGGATCCCGCGATAACGCAAAAAGTACTGAAAATATTTTAATGAAACTTGATATATGGATAGATGGCAGTATGGAGATTATGCACGTCTTTTTCTTTTCTTCCTATGTTGAAAATTCTGGTTGCTATGGCAACAAATAGACTGAAAATATGACAAATTTTACACATAAACTGGATCCAACGATAACGCAAAAAGTACTGAAAATATTTTTATGAAACTTGATATATGGATAGATGGCAGTATGGAGATTATGCAAGTCTTTTTCTTTTCTTCCTATGTTGAAACTTCTGGTTGCTATGGCAACAAATAGACTGAAAATATGGCGAATTTTACACATAACCTGAATCCAGTGATAACACAAAAAGTACTGAAAATATGCCAATGAAACTTGACATATGGGTAGATGGCAGTATGGAAATTATTCACATCCTTTTCTTATCTTCCTATGTTGAAAATTCTGGTTGCTATGGCAACAAATAGACTGAATTTCAAGATTTCTGATTCTAGTTTTTAAGTTTTTTCACTATAAGTTCTTTATTTCTTAAGGTATTTTCTTCAAACTTTAAATATAAGTTGCTTGTCATCAACCACATCATATGTGACAAGGTTTACAACTCTAGCACAAAATTTATCAGAATTACCTCCCTTGAACTTGAAATTTTCATGAAAAAAACATTGTTTTTTTTTAATAACTTCTTTTTCTGAATGTATCTACTTCAAACTTCATATAAATGTTTCTTATTGTCACTCAACATTTGTGAGTGTTCAATACTCTAGCAAGACTATTTCCAGAATTATGCCCCTTTTGAACTTAGACATTTTTTTGAGAAATTGGTAATTTTTACTCCAACTTCTTCAATCATGATAGGATTTTAAAAATGTTATATTTTGATAACAGGGATGTTTAAAAAATAACTTTAGAGTGTCTTTCAGTCTGTCTGTACATAAAAACTATTTCCTGTGATCACTTTTAAAGAACTTTTTCAACAAATTTACTTAAAATAGGAACCTAAGTGAATGGCCAATGGCCCTTCAGAATGTTGCTTGGGCTCTTACCGGTAGGGGACTTATGGATTGCTTGCAATACTATGATAATTGCTTGTTAGTCCCCTACCGGTTTACCGGAGGGGACTTTAGGTTTACCCTCCGTCCGTCTGTCTGTCCGTCTGTCTGTCCGTCCGTCAGTCCGTCCTTCCACAAAACTGGATCCCGCGATAACTTGAAAAGTACTGAAAATATTTTTATGAAACTTGGTATATGGATAGATGGCAGTATGGAGATTATGCACGTCTTTTTATTTTCTTCCTATGTTGAAAATTCTGGTTGCTATGGCAACAAATAGGCTGAAAATATTGCAAATTTTACACATAAACTGGATCCAGTGATAACGCAAAAAGTACTGGAAATATTTTTATGATACTTGACATGTGGGTAGATGGTAGTCTTAAGATTATGCACGTCTTTTTCTTTTCTTTCTATGTTGAAAATTCTGGTTGCTATGGCAACAAATAGGCTGAAAATATGGCAAATTTTACACATAAACTGGATCCAGTGATAACTCAAAAAGTACTGGAAATATTTTTATGACACTTGACATATGGGTAGATAGCAGTCTTGAGATTATGCACGTCTTTTTCTTTTCTTCCTATGTTGAAAATTCTGGTTGCTATGGCAACACATGGATCCAGTGATAACTCAAAAAGTACTGGAAATATTTTTATGACACTTGACATATGGGTAGATAGCAGTCTTGAGATTATGCACGTCTTTTTCTTTTCTTCCTATGTTGAAAATTCTGGTTGCTATGGCAACACATAGACTGAAAATATGGCAAATTTTACAAATAAACTGAATCCAGTGATAGCTCAAAAAGTACTGGAAATATTTTTATGAAACTTGACATATGGGTAGATAGTCTTGAGATTATGCATGTCTTATCTGTTCTCCCTATGTTGAAAAAATATCTGTTGCCTTGGCAACAAATAGGCTTAAAACATGGCAAATATAACAATATTTGTGATTAGTCAAAAAGAGCTGAAATTTTTTATGAAATTGCATCTTTAATTCAAGAGTTATCTCCTCTTTAAGAATTTTGCTTTTAAAATGTTATATTTTGGTTACAGGGATGTTTCAAATGTTAACTTTAGAGTGTCCTTCAGTCCGTCTGTCTGTCTGTTCATAAAAACTGTTTCCTGTGATCACTTTTAAAGAACTTTTCCAACAAATTTACTTAAAATAGAGAAAAATTGAAACATTAGTGAATGGCCAATGGCCCTTCAGAATGTTGATGGGGTTCTAACCGGTAGGGGACTTATGGATTGCTTGCAATACTATGATAATTGCTTGTTTTTTAAGTTTTATAGTTGTTAATGAATTTATTGTTTGCATTTTGTGAATGTCCTGATTCAAGGAGATGGAAAAGATGGTAGAGTTATGACTGACTTGAAATCACTTGCCAGTCATGATTGGTGTGGATTTGAAGTTGGTCATGCAAGTTGAATTCCTTTACAAAAAGTTTTTTATTCAGCTATTTAAGAGCATTTGAGATACCTCTTCCAGTAAAGTTTAAAGGTTGCCAATTGACTTTTACAACAACATCATGACAACTAGATCCAATAGCATCATTATGAAGTAAAATTTAGTTGAAGGAAGTTGAATGAAATATTGTTGAATTGTATTGAGTTAAAAGGAATGTAAAATGTTACAATATTTCATACAATGATTAATGAAAGTTTTTTTAGTAAAAGCTTACAGAAATGTGTATTATTAAATAATGGTTCTCTTCTATTAACTCTGTGTAATTTTAAAAAGTAGTGGTTGCTTGCGGTATCCGCTTCTCAACTAGGAATAGTTGGTTTGACCTCTACTCTCGTAGGTCTTTTTATCTATTGCAAGGGTTGTTCATAGGTGTCTTCCCTGCTAAAAAACATCCTTAAAATCAAGCAGTTTCCACCTAAAATTAAATTTACATCTTGTTGTTTCTTCCTATAGTGCTAAAAAATAATATTTATTTTTCCCCAACTGTAAGGGAAATGCAGTGCTGGTCATGAACTTATTTCATATGGCACCAGTACTGGTTAGCTCCAGGAAGCAGCATCAGATAAGTCAGATAAGATGCAAGGTTTATTCACAACCAAGTTAAAATAGATAGATTATGTTTAAACTGAATTGTAAAGACAATTTAATACATTCTCTTGTTTTCTCTTTCTCCTATCAGGTTTTATTTTAGCTCAAACAACAGTATATTGGGTTCAACTATACAGCAACCTCCAGATAAGATCGAAAAACCCGTCCGACAAAAAATAAAAGTACAGCCAAGTCAGTCCACACCTAGACAACAAATAACCACAGGTATGTTATGTTTGAAATTTACAAATCTGAGTTTTACTTGCTATGTGCCCTTGTTTATCATTTTGGGGGCTTTGGTCCTCACTGCTGTGGGTTTGAATCTCCCCCAGGAATTTTGTATTCTTTCATGTAAGGAAGCTATCCAGTTAGTTTATGGATGTTGATGGTTCTACTCAGCTGCCCTGCCTAAATATTGTAAGGGAGGCAGCTGAGGTCTTCCTCTATCAGTAAAGTTTGAAAGTTGCCATATGACCTTTACTGTGTTTGTGCACTAAAAATCCAACCCTGCTAAAGAAGCATTGAGAGATAAATTTTGTTAGTAATTTTCGTCTTAGAAGTTTTATAAAATATAATAGAATCCATGTAACATACAGTCGACTCTCGTTATCTCGAAGTCATCGGGACCGTCCAAAAAATATCGAGATAACGAAATGTCGAGATAAACATATTAGGGCTTGAATAAGGCAGAAACTGATTTTTACAAAAGACATGTGCATACCTTATGTCAAATAAACTATGATATCCCCATGTCTTGTTTTCATATGCCTAGTCAATATTTAACACAGTAACATTAGCGGATGTTTACCAGCGGAAATACGGGTGTCTGTGATAAAAACACATAGTGAGGTTTACTCAGTAATACACCAATGTAGTGCAAACATTGTTTTCAGGGTGGTTGATCCGGATATTCTCCCGGGTATTTATCGGGTCTTTCTCGAGATTGTTCGACCGCTGATTGATTTAGTGGTGATGTTGTTAAACTATATTGCAACGATAGCGTTTCTATTCTTTCACTATTTCATTTACATTTAAAGTCATAATGAATTGATACAGAGTTCGAATATTTATAAAGAACGTAACATTCACTCATTTTGGACATAAGTCAATCAACACGCTAAATAACTTTTATAAAAACAGCTTAACTTGTTACAAACATTATCATCATTATAAAACGCGCTATTGAGCAATTATCGTCTAGTTTGTGTTTTTCACACGTCTGAAGGGAACAGATGAAAGAAAACTATTAGTCGAGATAAACAAAGGAAAATAGTGTGAAAATAATTGTTGGGACTGAAATTTTACATCGAGATACTAAAAATATCGAAATAAAAATATCGAGATAAACAAATATTTCCAATATAGATAAAGCAGGAAGAAAATCGGGACTTTCAAAATATGATCGAGATAACGAAATATCGAGAAAAGCGATGTCGAGATAACGATAGTTGACTGTACTTGTTAAAAAAAATGAAAGCAAACAAGCAAAATAAACACACTGTAAGACTGTAGCTGTTTAAATAAGACTCAAAACACATAAGGAAAGTAAACACAATAATTAAAAAAATATTGCAAAATCCATAGAAATTCTTAATGTTGTATTTATTTTGAAATACAGATAATGGAACTTTGCATGACGATACGTTTATTCCTCTAACAGACATATCAGCTATACCATCAGTACGTCCAGATATACGTCATACAGATACTATAGGTAAGTTTCTTGTCTATAATACTTGTAATAATACTTTGTCATTTACGATATCAGAATTGATAAACCTTACTTCGAACAATGTCAGTCTGTCTGAACTGTAACTTTATGTTAAGAAGATATATTTCCACCGGCTCAGTTCATTAGGAAGAGCATTTGTTTAGTAGTCCAGGGGTGGCTGGTTTGATCCTTGGGCAGGACGTAAAATTTCTTTAACAATTGTTCTATAGTCATATGTATCTCACTGATGATTCGGAAATCATGTGGGATTATGTGATGGCCATTTGCAGAGATAAATTGGTACTTACTAGTTAATAAGCCAGGAAAGTTGGTTAGTGGGACCCATTGCTAAGATATGACAAAAAAAACATTTATAGGATACATAGTGTTTATAATCTTTTTCCACCAGTTAAGCATAAAAGTTGCCATATTATGAGTTCATAATTGTTGGTGGAACTTTGAACTCAAGAAAAAAAACGCAGTGACTAAAACTTGGTAAGTCTTAACACTTGGAATGATGGCACCAAAAAATTACATTTTTTTCCCTTTGAAATACAACCAGGCCATTCTGTACATTCATGCAATCTGATAAGGCTCTGTACTGTCTTTTATAGAAAGTTATATCCCCATAATATATAATGGACAATTTTTAAAAATGAACACTCATATCCAGATAGCTTATAGAACATCGATTGTTCTACTGAAATGCCCGTTTTTGCCTGAAATAACGCACACCTACACCTGAGTGGCACCTGAGGTCTTCCTCCACTAGTAAAGCTGGAAAGTTGCTATATGATATGACCTATGCGTTAAGGGCAAAATAAAACCCAATAAAAAAATATGAACACACAGCAAGTCTATTTGAGAAAAGCAGAAGAATATAAGGTTTATAGAGCTGTTACTGTTTTTCAGATCTCACAGAAGACCAGGAGCCAGAAACACATGAAAGATTTTTTGGGTATGTATAAAATTGTTGTTTACTTGATCCTTTTTGCAGTTTAGCCATGTATTTTGTGGTAAAGTCACAATGCCTAAGGTATAAGGAAGATTAATGGTTTTACCAAGATTTCTGCTTCCCCGCCAGAGAAACATTACATTCTTTAATTAGAGGAGCCTAAGCCACTGTCAAATTTTAGGTTATGTGAAGTTTTTTAAAAGTGGAAGTTAAATACAAAGACATTGAGCCAGTTTAATTGCCACTTCAGGGCTCTCACTCTCTGTTTTAAGGGGACTGTACCTGTAGGAGGTGAACTTTTCATGTCTTTTTCCCATGTAGGGGGGCATTGAGGGCCGGCCGCCCTAATGTAATATGTATACAGTAGCAACATTACTATACAACATATAAGTGTTGTTGTGGACAATAGTGCAGTAAGATGCAAGTAAATATGTGTAACAACTATTTTACAGATAAGTTGATGGTTTTACCAAGATTTTTATCCCTGCTAGGAAATTTGACTTTTTCTATGTGTAGAAGGTACCCAGCTGGCTTCCAGACAGTGAATGGTTCTATGTTGGTGGCAAGTTTTTGCTTGATCTGGAGGTCTTGTATCTACATATACATCTATCTGTGAAACCTAGAAATGCTCCAATTACATATATATTTTTCTCTTTTGAAAATTTGGTGTATATAAATAAAATTATATAATGTTTTGACAAAGAAGCCTGTATCATTGGAAGTAAGTGATTTGAATGCACTTTTGTACGAATAATATTACTATTACAACTTAGTATTGGTGGTTTTAGTTTCAGGGACAGAAAGTTAAAGACACCTACAAATGATTATAGAGACTGTAAATTCCTCTCAGAAAATTGGATAAAGGATTTGTAAGTTGTTTATGATACCATTTACATAAAATGAGTCAGATTTTATAGTAAAAGTTTTCATTAAGAATGCTTTAAAGCAAGTGATATGAACAGATTTGTTTATGACTGGCATGGTTTAATATTTTTGGCAAAGGAAATTTCTTTTTCACAACCGCTCTAGAAAGAGTTGATGACATTAATACAGTATAACAGCCAGAACTGGTAGAGTTCATAACTTTATTTGCGTAACTTGTCACTATTTTCATTGTTATTATAAACGTTTCAGAACATCAACATACAGTGCTAAGTCTCGGGAAAGGGAGAGGCAACTTGCAGAGGCTCAAATCAAAGCAAAATTATATGAAGAACAGGTATTTATATATACTCATTAGAGCTTTATAGCTTGGCTTTGTTGGCAAAATAGAAACACTGATAAATATATTTGATTTGCAAGTGAAATTAGATGCCACGATTGAATGTCTCAGTAATGAGACTGGTAACATCAAAAGGTTTTTTGAGAATTCTTCACACTTATTTACATAAATTAATGGGCATGCAGTTATATAAATTGTGTAATTTTACAAGATATTTTTTACAAAGAAATTAGAACATTTTTCTCTTTCTATTTGTGTGGGAAAACTCAAGAGACAAGTTCAAAATTTTTTTAAAGTTATTAGAAGTTTTGCGATGAAACAAAATTGTATATCGATATATAATATTTATCTTAAATTAGTTTTCACCTAAGTTTAAATGTTGTTATAATTTTATAGAGGAAGCAAGATGAGGCGGATCTCGAGCGGAAGATACGTCGCCAGATGTATATACACAAGAAGACACCGGTGGTCGTTGATGATTTACCGGTGTCTGATATCTCGTCAGAGGAGGAAGAAGAAGATGAATGTCAGATAATAGAAGAGGAAGAAGGTCTTCCTGGTATGTGATAGTCTCTAGATATTCGGTTTTACCTCATCAGTTTCAATAAGAAAGTCGAGCTATTATGATATGTCATTGATGTTGTCTTTGTGCAATAAACTATAATATAACCAATAATTCAAATAATTTTGATTGTTATCAACATGAAACTTTAAATACTTGCATATCATGACAAATTGCAGTTATTAGAGAAATGCATAATTCTGCAAGCTATATTTTTGGAGTTTTGACTCTTTAACTTAAAATATTTGTCAAAAAATGGTTGCCTTATACAAACGAGCGTAAACACCACATGCAATGCTCTTGTTTTTATGAGCCTGATTAGATAATATTAGATAATATTTCAATTACTGCTCCCTTGGCCAGGTGGCTAATATACCTTATCTCAAATCACTACCTCCTGACCTTTGGGGGTATAAATCCTGTCATTGACTAATTTCATGTGAAAGCCAGCTTAGGGAATGTTGATACGGCTAATTGCTTGCACCTGAATTATTACTCAGATGGACACTTGAGGTCTATCTATTCCAGTTAAGCTAGAAATTTACATGTAAAGTCACCATAAGGTATTTTTGACTTATCAGAACTGACAGGTGAAATGGAGAATATTATAAACAATGCCCTGTCACGAGGAAGTCCTGGTCAAGTCCTTGTAGATAAATTCCGGTTACAGATTACAAAAGGTGATATAGCCACATTAGCTGGCCTTAATTGGCTAAATGATGAGGTATGTTGATTAAATCATAGATTCTGGTATATCTTTAAGTTTTATGGGGCGTCCGTGGCCGAGTGGTTAAGGTCGTGACTTCAAATCACTTGCCCCTCACCGCTGTGGGTTCGAATCCCCGACAGGGACTTTGGATTCTTTCATGTGAGGAAGCTATCCAGCTAGCTCACGGAACGTCGGTGGTTCTACTCAGGTGCCCGTTAGTGTCTGAAATATGCACGAAGGGGCACCTGAGGTCTTCTTCCACCAGTAAAGCTGGAACGTCGCGATATGACCTATACTGTGTTGATGTGACGTAAAACCCAAAACAAAACTAAACTTCAAGTTTAAAGGTGAATTTTAAAATTTTAAGCTTTCATTTGTTTAAATCTTGCACTGGTCAATTTGTATAGTGAATTAGCTAACAATATTTGAATCTATCTGTAAGCCACAATGTCATAATAAGAGTGTAGAGAGATTTTGTGGCCGAGTAGGTAAAGTCACTAATGTCGGACTTTGGTTTGATATTCGTGATATCAGGAATAAGCGGCAGACATCTTATTTAACATTTTTCATTGAGCCATCGACATGTAACATATCTTTATTCCTTTCTTATTAGCTATGTGTATAAATACATTCAAGTCTCAGGGTGAAATTGCTATCTTAAGACAATGTATCTTAATAGTTTAAAATATAGATTCATTATTCAGATTAACCTTAGTATGTTAATGAGTACAACATATATGTTAGCAGTTTCTGTTTAATTATAAATATACTGAGGAGTTGCAAATGGATATGATGTATAGATTTGTTTTTAATATACAGTGTTAAAATTTTTGCAGGTGATAAATTTTTATATGAATCTCCTGATGGAAAGAGGCGAGAAGGATGGCAATTCCAAAGTTTATGCTTTCAACACATTTTTCTACCCCAAAGTGATGAGTGGAGGTCAATCAGCCGTGAAGCGATGGACAAGACGGGTGGACGTGCTTGCAGTAGATTACATTTTGATACCTGTACATCTCGGCATGCATTGGTGTTTAGCAGTATGTATATGTGTTGAAAGTTTAGCTGTTGCACTTTTTCTTTTATGTGCCTAGTGCCTAGCTAGGTTATGAAAGGTTGGTGGTTCTACATGGGTGATTGCAAATGTAGAAATAGTACAGTGGACATGCTTTTGCTTTGTACTGTCAAGGAAAACTTGAAATTTGCCTTACGGCTTCAACTCCGTAAAAAAACAAGTACAATGTCTTGTAACCATTTTGCTGCCAACAAGGCAAGTATATCCATTGTATTTGCCTACTTGTGTGACCTCTGTATATGATTACTTTTTTGTTTCCACCCCTTGTGGCCAAGTGGTTGCCTTTACAGGCCGAGGCATCAGAATTGCAGCCACTGTTTAACCCCGCATGATCGTAAGTGACAACTAAATGATTCCGAATTATTGGAGTCTGTGCATTAGTTAGCTTCAGCAGGTGAGGTGGTATTGCTTGTAAGTTTGTAACACAGGAGGTTAGCCAAAATGATCTGTTTTGTTTTGGCGCCATATGACCACAACTGTGTTTGTGCGCTATAAAACCAAACAAACAAAACAACATTTCTTACCAGTAATTTTATAAGTGTGTGGAGTGGATTTTGAGATTTTTTTCTAACACTGTATAACAATTCTTTCTCTAAAAGTAGTTCAAGAAACTGGTTGGTGTGGCGCTTGGTTTTCTAGGATATAAAAAATCACATACAAGCTGTCATGTTTTTTTTTTCAGGTGATCAACTTTAAGAAGAAGGATATTCAGTATTATGATTCAATGGGAGGGAACAACACACAGTGCCTAAATGCTTTAAAGTAAGTCTGTCAGTATGTAGAGTAGTGTGTTACAATTTACAGTTTAACTGAGAATTTTTCAATTACTTCACCAAGTCTTTCTTTTTAAGATGCAGGGCTCACGCTGTCGGTCGCCATAGTCGCCATTTGCGATTATTTTATAAGATTGGCGATTATTTTTGCATTTTGGCTACAAAATCTGGCGATTACTTTTTTCTTCCAACAGTGTTTATATAAGGTGTAAAAATCGATAATGAATGCAGCAGACCCAATTAACACCAGCGAGGTGCATTGAATTGAGCGGTCACGTGCTGCTAACTATATTGCCTCAAGTGATAAAATACATGCGAGATGTATAATTGTATAAGTACTTTAAAGATATTGTCCAGCATTTATAATAGCCATCAAATATCCGTCAATTAGCCACAAAATCGTTTTAAAATTGATAAACTGAATATTGACTTACCCAAAATTTACCGTGAATTCCAGTAATTGCAAATTTTGATTTTTTTTATTTAAAGCTACTTGACTAAATCGCCAGTGGAAAAACAATGGTTAAATATTAAAAAGTATTAAATTCCAAACAACTATTTGCACAACAACCAAAATTGTGAATTTTTCTTCAGAAAACAGGAAAAAATCCGATTGTCACATATTTTTCGCGACAACGATAATTTTGATATTTATTTAAAGGTGAAATAAGCTATGTTCTGTTTAAAAATCTTTACTACTATGGCAGAAAATTTGTATTACATTGGTGATGATGATATTTTTCAGTAAATTATTCAGAAAAAGGCTGCATTCTGTGAATGAGTTTGCAAACTTGTGTTATTTCTATAGGCTAATATGTCCTTGATCTACTCCAATTGTGTGTTAATGGTTATAGCTGACAAAATTTGATTAGAACAAACAAAAAAAGTTGGCTGATAACAGCATTATGTAAAGTTAAAATGAATCTTTAATATTATTGTTATACAGTTATTATACTAATAATAACGTTTTTATTCTGTTCTTTAATAACAATTAAAGTTGTGGTTCTATTTAAAAAAATGTAGTTATCAATATACACAAATGTATCAGTTTATTTGAGAATCCTTATAAAACTGAAAGATATAAATGTAATGTATAAAATCAACTGCTTATGTTGTTAATCATTAATTCGTGAATAGTGTGCTGAACTTTTGGCTATTATTTTTTTAAGTTGAAATTATTGGCTATTATTTTATTTGAGCCAGTGTGAGCCCTGAGATGTGATGTTTTTGTTGCGTAGATTTTGATTTAGTCTTTGGTTTTGTTAAAATATTGTTTGGCATGGGTTGATATTAAAATTTTCTAGATTTATATTAAAATACTTACTTATTTTCTGAATATTTCTAGTATGTGGGTCATAGATCAAAACATAGATTGGTTAGTAAAGTTGAAGAAAGAACAAGATAACATTTTGCTTAAAAGTATTGAGGACTTCTCAACATCACTTTACATTAAAGCAAAGTTATGCCATGTTCTTTTAAGAAAATCAGAGAATTATATGAAACAACAGTGTGGGTCTGATTCTCGAGCAAGGGAAATTTCATTGTGACAATTGATAAAGGACATTGAGTTTAATAAGAATCTGTGGCTGAGTGGTTAACGTTGTTTACTTCAAACCACTTGCCCCTCACCGCTGTGGGTTCAAATCCTGACAGAACTTTGGAGTCTTTCATGTGAGAAGCTATCCAGCTAGCTTATGGAACATTGGTGGTTCTTAGATGCCTGTTTGTGCCTGAAATAATATATGAATGGGCACCAGAGGTCTGTCTCCCTCTATCAATAAAGCTGAAAGTCTCCATATGACCTATACTGTGTGTTCACTGAGTGTTGGTGTGATGTAAAACCCAACCAAAAGTAAAAAAAAAAGAGTTTAATGGGCATTTTTCTCTCACAGATGATTAAGAAATCATGTTAGATTAGAAATCAGTCACTTTCAGAGAAATTGATGATAAGTTATCCAGGGAAGCTGGTTAGGTGGATAGACAGCCAAGATATGACCGAAAATGTGTTAAAATTGGTGTAACAACAAAACAAACAAAATAAATTCTTATTTTTATTTTTCTGTTATTTCAGACAATATCTCTGTGATGAAAGCTTAGATAAAAAGAAGTCAGAATTTAATTTAACAGGTTGGAAATCAACTATAGTCAAGGTAGGTCAAATCAAAATCATGTTATTGTTTATTTTCCTTGAAGAAACGCAATAACACTCAAACCCTCTGTCATAGGTTTGTAAAGCTTACATAAAGTAACCAATATCTAATTGTCTTTAGAAAATACAAGTGCAATGCATGTGTGAAAGTATTTCAAGATTATACCTAAATTCAAGGTATTTTGGGGTCTTAAAATATTGTTAAAACATAATTATATACTATGTATTGTAAATCTTACTTTTACAGGATATACCTCAGCAAATGAATGGAAGTGATTGTGGCATGTTTGCATGTAAATACGCTGAATATATCACCCGTGAGGCTCCTATCTCATTCACACAGGTACTGTACCATTCAAACACATAATTTACTAGTATTTGATTTCCAAATTAATTTTGAAAAGAAATAAAATAAGTACATTTACATATATACAGAGGGTCGGCACAAATTATGGTCTAGAATAGTCAGAACAGTCAGAACCGAATTAGAGTGGACTGGAACATTTTTCAGGAGAAATTTTTTCTGTCCAGACAAAGGAGGTGTAGGGGAACAGTAACGTAGGGTCTGCACAAATTATGGCCCAGAATTAGAGTGGACTGGAATATTGTTCCAGGCAATTTTTTTCTGTCCCAACAAAGGAGGTGGTTTAGTGGAAACAGTGACGAACCAGTCCCAAACCACTCAGATGCTAATTCTGAACAGTAATTAACACTTCTTGTCCAGAACTAGTTCGGAACTACTCCTGACTTACTTTAGCTGTTTTAATCTTTTGATTTTTTCTTAACATTGTCTAACTTGGTTAAATTTTGGCCTGTTTTTTCGAAAGCTTGGGCAGTAAGTCCACATAGAAAATTTTATTAAAAGATGAGTGATAGATTTATTGAAATAAGATTTAAATAAATAATTAGTTAAGTGCTCTTAAAGACAGAAATTTTCTAATTTAGGCATTCTCATTTGATAGAAAAGTAGGGCAAAGGCATAATAAATGTTATTTATATTTCAGGCTGACATGCCGTATTTCCGACGGAGAATGGTTTACGAGATAGTGTCGGCAAAACTGTTACAATGATAATGAAAAGACTGAACTTGTTTGTTACCCAGCATGCTGTGATGTTTCAGCGTTACGTCACCGGCACAATTCAGTCATGCTTTTAATTGACAGTACACACCTCTTCTCAGGCAGCTATTGCGAAGAAAATTTGAGAACCGACTGGTACAGATTTCATGGGAGGTAATTTCCATGGTTACCTAACCGGAAATGAAAAATTCTTCTGAAGTACATGAATAAAATGTGATGTGTCTTTAAAAGAATGAATCCTACTGTAGCCAGTTCATAATGGATGAGGGATATTATTTTTGATTAGAAAATGGTACAGCTATCTGGTGTTGTACAAAACTACTGAAAGTTATACTATCACAAAATAGTTCAAACAACACGGTGCTCCACAGAATGATATGAATTTTGTAGAATGATCATTTTTCTTGAAATGACTAACATAGAACATCTGAGATCATATATTTGTGGTATGGTGCATTCGCATGATTGACAAATGAAATAAGTTTTTCAGGAGGAAACAAAATATTTGCTTATCTTAATTTCGAGACTTCTTGGTGCAAAATATTGAAACATTGGAGATTCATGATATAATAATAATGTTAATGATAGTGCAATTATTTATAAAAATGGTATTGTCTAGTGATAAAGTTAATTTTGTGACAAAAAGGGTTGTAGATATTTTGTTGAATGGTGATTCCCAACATTATTTGCAAACATTGATGCCTTGCTTATGAAAATGGCTGACTATACGAAATGTATTGTGATGTGATAATTAAATGGATAAAATACAGAAAATGTTTCATGTGGGTATATTTCATGGTTTTAAATGAAAGGTTGAAATATTGCAGGGTCTCTCTCTGGCTTTATTGTGAAGTAAGATGATTCTAAACCATTTTGAGGATTGACTGCAAAACTGTTGCAAGTCCTTCTTAATTTCATATTAGTTACTGTAGTTTTGCGGTCATCCCTCAATTGGCATCTCACATCTTGAGCTTAAGGTCCTTCATTGCAAGTTTTCCATTTTGAATTCTTTCTGCAAAGATATCAGTTTCTCTACTTGTTATAGAGTATGTAAGCGAACAGCATGGATCCTGATCAGACTGCGTGGATGCACCCGCTGGTCTGGATCCATGCTGGTCGCAAACCCATTATGTTGGTTTTGTCATGGCGCAGCTCATTTACGTTAGCCTCAAAATTGGTGTGGATTTGCAATAAGGGGACACATTGATAAGTTTAAAAAGAATTGTTGTATCGTATATAGATTTGAAATAACAAGACATTCTTTTTCTCAAGGTAAAAAATGCTGTTTTATCACATGCATACTTGAAATAATATTATGGTCTTGTTAATTGGAAATAAAATAACAGGAAACAAAAAAAACTTACTAAACTTTGAAACATTTCGACCCTTGTGTGCTTCCAAGATAAAGTTGTTATAAAGCTTATGAAAAAATGTAGATTTGTTTATGTGGGTTGTCAGTTTAAAAGGTAAAGCTTATGCCAAAGAAAGTGCAGATACGGTGGTGAAGCAATTTGTCCATCATCATTTTTTAGTTGTAGAAGATACTCTCATTTTAGATGCATCTATATTTATCATTCAAAATTTGATTTATTAAGTGTTAGAATTTCAGAAATAATGAAACTACAAAGTAAAGTAGGGTAGTTTTTTTTTTGTTTTTTTTTTTCAAAAATAAGTGCAGGTTCTTATTATGAACTTGAAACAAAGTTCCTTTATTAGGAAACAAAATTTGTCTTTTTTTGTATTTTATGTATAACAGCATTGCATTCAGTTAATGTTAAACGTTGGCCATGCACCATCCCCATTACAAAACTGTTAGTCAAACAAACCATTAGAACCCCACCATTCTATTACAGGCTAACATTATATAATAGACATTCATTTCAAACTAAAACTCAAAAAAGTAAACCAATTTCAGAATGTTTCTTCAGTCTTATGTTTTTAAATTTTCCACACCTTATTTTATTGTTAATCAATGTTTAAAACAAACACAGCTATTCATTCATCTCAAGGTGTATGAATCCTTGTTTAATCAAAGTTTTACTGATTTATACCTTATTTTTATTTAATGTATTAAAGTCCTTTTTCATTAGTATTTGTAATTTATTTGTTTGTAGTCGTCTTGTTGCTGTTATTTTATTTAGGAAGATATTTATTTTCATCATTTTTGTAAGTTAATGTTTGTTACAGGATTATTTCTTTGAAAGGTTTTTTAGCCAAAAAGATGTCTTTACCCATGCCAATTGCAGATCTACCTATTTCCCTGCAAGACGGGCAAGCTTTTAGATGTAATGACTGATTGTTGATTCTTTCTCTTTTTTTCTTTCTTTTTAAAAATCCACAATATTTGTTTCATTTTGACAAAAAAATCATTTTATCAAAACTATGTTCATTTTCTTCCATTAGAATTGATTAAATTGTTGATTTTATATACAGTACAGAATAAGCATCATCTTTTATAGAAGATTCCTTGTAATAAGTCCCCTACCGGTTTAACCGGAGGGGACTTTAGGTTTACCCTCCGTCCGTCTGTCTGTCTGTCCGTCTGTCCATCTGTCTGTCCGTCCGTCAGTCCGTCCGTCCACAAAACTGGATCCCGCGATAACGCAAAAAGTACTGAAAATATTTTTATGAAACTTGATATATGGATAGATGGCAGTATGGAGATTATGCACCTCTTTTTTTTTCTTCCTATGTTGAAAATTCTGGTTGCTATGGCAACAAATAGTCTGAAAATATGGCAAATTTAACACATAAACTGGATCCAGTGATAACTCAAAAAGTACTGAAAATATTTTTATGAAACTTGAAATATGGGTAGATGGCAGTCTGGAGATTATGCACATCTTTTTCTTTTCTTCCTATGTTGAAAATTCTGGTTGCTATGGCAACAAATAGCCTGAATTTCAAGATTTCTGATTTAAATTTTTCAGCTTTTTCACTATATGTTCTTTATTTCTTAAGGTGTTTACTTCAAACTTTAAATATAAGTTCCTGGTCATCAACCACATCATATGTGACAAGGTTTATAACTCTAGCACAAAAAATATCAATATTACCTCCCTTGAACTTAGATTTTTTAGGGGAAAAAATGTTGTCTTTTTTAAATAACTTCTTTATTTCCTAATGTATCTACTTCAAACTTCATATATATGTTTCTTATTATCACCAGACCTGGGGTAATCATTAATTGCAATCATTGATTTTTTAATTGATTGCATGATTACACTGTAATCTTCATGTATTTGATAACCTTGCCCAAAATTAATCAAATACAGCTTAAATTCAGTCAGTAATTATGATTACATTTTGATTGACATTCAGATTACTTCAAGATTTAACAGGAAACTATTAGATTCAAAGGATGCCTTTATTTTACAGTTTAACTTTTGTTTTACAGTTATAAAGTGAAAATCCTCAATTAAGACCACCATTTAGACTGAAACAAAGTGAATATTCTTATCATTGCTTACATACTTTAAGACCATGGTCTATTTTAGTCATTTTGTATGAACAATATGCACATTTGAATATGTATATTTACATGTACCTATAAAATTAAATACATTATAAAAGACGCTATAAAAGAATGCTTTAATATTTAATCTGATGAAAGGAAAACATTATTTCTGAAGAAATTGAACATTAATTTTACGGTATCACTTATAATATTATGTACATAAATCAAATAAAAATTTAATTTTTCAAAAAATATATATGTTGAAAGCAACAATGTAGCACTCTTCTCACCTTATTTCATACAATAACCCAAATATAATAGTTTTTCACACCTTGTGAAATCAAGTGTCATGATAAAGAGCATTCAAGCAGATCAGAGCAACAAATTTAAGATCTAGATAGGTGTTGACTTTAATATCAGTGGTCTCTATAGTTGGGTCACATTAAAATTAAACAAAAATTTGGACTGGATATGGTGGTCTTTGAGGTGAATAAGCAGGTGGTTAAATCTAGATCATGAAACCATTGACTTGAGAACCTTTTTAAAAACGGTCTTAATAGCAGGGTGCTCTTAATTCTGGGGTGGTCTAATGTACATTCAATGTAATCAATTATCAATCAATTACTCTCTTAAAGTAATTGTAATTCAATTGATTACAGAGACAAGTGGGAGTAATCAATCTTAATCAATTACAATAAAATCTGAAAGTAATTGTAATTAAATCAATTACTGATCAATGTAATCATCCCCAGGTCTGATTATCACTCGACATTTTTGAGAAGGTTAAATACTCTAGCAAGACTATTTCCAGAATTATGTCCCCCTTGAACTTCAAACTTCATATATATGTTTCTTATCATCACTCGACATTTTTGAGAAGGTTAAATACTCTAGCAAGACTATTTCCAGAATTATGTCCTCCTTGAACTTAGATTTTTTTCGAGAAACTGGTATTTTCACTCCAACTTCTTCATTCCTTATAGGATTTACTTTAAAATCCCACATCGTAATAATATGACAAGGTTGTATAAACATAATTTCCTTACTAAGCATGGAAACTTAACACATTACTGTGATATAGACAATCTTATTTTATTATGTTTTGTGGTCGATATTTTCAAATACAGACTTCATCCTCAAATTCATTATAAATGGCAATACACAGGAGTGTATGACAATTAAAGAACTTTTTGAGGGACCGGTAGGGGACTACTGTATTGCCCGCAATACTATCAAATGCTTGTTTTTATACATATACTAGGTAGAAACAATTTAATTATATACATGTAATAACAGCTCTGGTTGCAAAAAGGTCAATGACAATTTATGTATCAAAGAGGTTTCATATTTGACCGATACTTAAAAATAAACATGTCTATTTACATACATGTATGTTATTGTCTTCACCATATTTTTTTTTACCTGACAATGGTCAAAGGCAAATGTTTTGCTGGTTACCAATAAACTGAAACTTAATCCTAAGAACATGAATAAAGTCCTCTTTGATTACACCAATGAGTGCATCCATTCTGAAAACTCGGGAACTCTGAATGAATGCCTTTATAATATAAGTCCTGTTAAAGATCATTGTCAAAAAAAACTCATGACAATGAAGAGTTAGAAATTCTGGCCAAATGTTGTTTTAGGGTTCTGAGCTTGATGAAAGATAGGTCAGGTTTGAAAATAATTTATGAAGTGTCTTAATCTAGGTCAGGAGGTCATATTATTGAAAAACATTAAGTTTCCTTAAGTTGAAATAAAACTTTGCCAAATTTTCTTCCATAAAATAAAGGTAAGGATAGAAAATTTTGGTTTCATTTGATCAAGTGGTCAATGACCATGTTGGTCATCTTGTTTAAACATTGTTAGCATTGTAAATATGTATGTTTTGTAAATATTGTATATAAAGATGTATTATATTAATTTTGTTTGGATACAATTTTGTCATTTATGAACATTCAAGTCTATCGTGACAATAAAACATTTTGAAACCTGTGTTTTTTGTATGCTTTGTATCACTATCAGATTTTAGCTGCCTGATACCGTCATGCATAACAGAGTTGTGACCCCTTAAATTGCCATAAGTGGCATCTTTCTAAGGCTCCCACGTTTACAAGTTTTTGTAAACGTTTACACGATTGCTAAGAACCGAAACGACACCGTTTAAACGGTGGTACTTCTATGTGCTATACTTCACCATGTATTCAAGTCGCCAAATGATGACTTACTTTCTATTTTTAACACAAGTACAAATAATAATGTTCAGGGCTCATCATGATTGAGTCGGCACACATTTTCTGCATTGTATCCTCATTTCGCTCTTTTGAAAGATCAAAGGAAAATCAACTTTACCAAAAATGTATTGTGTCACGAGCAATTATTGCACGTTAATGCTGTGTGGATGGTTGTAAATACCTATTTTCCGTATTTTACTTTGGAATAAACCATTTACAATCGATTACAGGCAATGACTTAGATATTTTGTAAGACAATGTGGTCTTTTCGATTAAACAGTAAACTTTATCGTTAACGTTTACGACTGAAAATCGAAACGAATCCGTTTAAACGTGTAGCCGTGAGGGCCTTACATCTTTCTGACCATATTGGCAGACAACTAGCTTAAATCCTTCACTTGTTTCACAAGTGGATTTTGATTTCTATTTAAAAATGGTTGATCCTATCATGCATTACAGAGTTGGTGACTAATTTAAGGTATAAATGGTCCTAAAATAGACAACAGCATTTAGTTTTTGATGCTGGAAATGATTTTTGTATTAATAAAATGCCTGCAACCATCTGTCCATCCATTAGCTATTTTATGTACACACTGTTATTTGAAATGATCCTGGCACTCTTGGTCATTATATGTTAATTTCAATATTTTGTATCTCTTCTGTCTTGAAGTGAATTAAAATTTAATCAGGGTTTTCACTAGCCATGAAATCCTGAGGGTCATTTTTAGTATGTTTTACCGACTACAAGGTCAAATCCCGATGATTTTAACAAAATTTGACACTTTATTTAAACTCCTGAGGGTCAAATAAGTCTTAAGGAAATTTGAACAGTCAAAGAGTCATTTTAAGGGTCAAACGGAGAGCTGAGTGATGGGAAAAATGAATTCTTTTGTCATAATGAGGATGTGCTGAATGCAAGTCTGACCTCTTCAGAACAAGATTACAGTCATAGAAAATCTGTAAGTTTATATCAACCAGTATATATACATGTATATGTAAAAGGAAGAATATTCTCGATCTGTCATTACTGAGTAAAGTAGCAAATCTATTTTTGAAATAATTTTTAGATTGCAGAATATTCAATTACCAGTGGGGGTGTTTATACAGGAAAAGTATTGAGAAGGATAGTTTGACAGCAAGTTAAAATCGACATTAAGTTTGTCTTTTTCCGTTATATATACTGTTTTCCCTGGGCTTGAAATAAAGGTGAAGTCTTCACTCAGGTGAGCAATACAAGACCATTGAGGCAAACTAATGTATCGATTATCTTTGTATCAATTTATATATTTATAAATATACATAAATGCATACTATATTGTCACACATAAGACTCTGCTTGGACTTTGTCATATCATGATTACTTGCAGCATTTATTTTTTCTTGCAATTATTTTGATCAGGTTGCTGAAATATGTAGGCAAGTATATATATTTAAAGAATAGTGTTGACGAATTGTTATAATTATATCTCTGAGTTCCGATTTAATATGTATTTTCAAAAAAAAAAAATCCGTATGTAGTACTTTAGAGCCTAAGGAAAAAGAAACGGCTCAAAATAGCTTTTAGTCAAGAAATTGGAATTTATACAATTCTCACAATAAATAGATATTACAAGTCACCGTTTCCGTTGTCGAGGAAAACAATTTTAATTTTATTTCAAAATTTAAAAAAAAATATTTCTGTTGTAGGTATGATATGTCTATTTTAATATCTCAGATTAATTGACTGACATATTTTTCCGATTTATTTTTACAAAATATTTCCGTGATTTAATGATACTGTAAAAATTTAAGTAAATTTAGAGTGGTCTAAGCAAATTTTTTTATTGATGCGTTCTTGTAATTTGATAATTTAAATGGTAAAGAATGATGTTGAAATAATTGTTTGATGATCAAATAATACACAAGAATTAATGCTTTTTATTTTCCGAATTAAAATGAGGTTAAACAAATGTGTGTTATTCTGGTAAGGTTTCAAAATGGGTCTGAAATATCATTTTTTTTCCAAAAAGGGATTAATATGCGGAAGTCAAAGGCTTTGGCTTGACCGGCTATAGACTACACGTGTATATTTAACAGAAAATCAAATAAAAACAAAGAATATATAGAATTCTACACTTATCAATGAAGTTTTCAGTGTCAGTTTAGTCGGGCGCCGCCATTTTCAATGTAACTTGATGATAATAGGCGGGGTATTCCAATAACTAACACCAGAACTTTTTCGGATTAATAATACTTGTCGAGTATTCCGAGTGGATAAGAAGCCGCAAGTGGTAGGGCTGTAATTTATGGGGAATTTTGTATCAATATATCAAGAGACAAATTCAATGATATCAGATATATCGATATACATTGACTTTGACAGTAGATACAATGATAAACACTTAAATGACTTGGAATCATGGTGTTATGGATACTTGTATTAGACATTACAAGTACTACAAAACTAACAGAAAGTTTGTTTTTTTCTGTTATTTTTGTCACTGACATTTGAAAACGGAGTTTAAAATTTAAGTTAGCCAAGGAAACTAGAAAAAAACTGACTTCTCTTATTAGACAAAATAGAGAGGTATATTTACTAGCAGAAATATCTTTTTTTTAGCTTGTATCGATATTTGAAAGTGTGTATCAATATTGTATCAGATGATGAATATCGATGATATAGCGATATTGAGATATTCAATGACAGCCCTAGGAAGCGGTGTATAAAATACAGAATGACACCTTTGCCTAATTTCATATTAATGTGTTGCATGTTTATGTATATTATTTTCACTTTTGAATATAAATACACTCTATAACTTTTCTAATGGGTCACCTACATCTATTTATATTTTCTCAGCAGTGGATCATATAAATAAAGAAAACAAAGATCACCTAAGTGACAGTTTATTTTGCAGATTCTATGAAAAATTCCTGACTTATTCGTAATAACCAACATGTATTTGATATAATGTTTCAACAAGACAAGTCCATTGCTAATCTTCTACAAATTGTAGAGAATTTTCTCGATTAAACTTTGCATAATTGTAGATATTCATAATTGAAACATATTAATGAAAAACAATTTTGGGTCCTGTCCAACTTTCTGGGTTATCCCTTCCTGTAAAAATGAGATTGTTACTCTTTTAGGTCATTTTCACAGAATTACCGGTAAACAATCGGTTAATCAGTAGATAAATTCAGAAATCAATATGTTGTGGTAATAGATCTTTTCATTTATATTCTTGTTTTATCAATACTTAATAAGTTAATTTAAATTCTCTTTGTGCTTTGCAGATAATCTGATTAGATGCTAAATGTCTGACACTGTGAGAGATATATTACATCAGATACAGCCACGTTTTTGTTATTGTCTGCCATTATTTACGTAAGAAGTTGGACAGTCTTAGAAGGGAAATAAAACAAAGGACAATAAAACTTTGAAAGTGTGCCAGATTTAACTATTACATGTAATAGTATTAAATGTAATTACTATACAAGTAATCTGATTGGATTTTAAATAGAGTGGAAATGTAGGGCAGTTTACACAATGCCATAATGTTTGTCACAGATATTGTTTCATTTCAAGGGACATTACTCTGTTGGATTCAGTAACCAGCTTCCATGATACAGTTACACAAATTTGTGATACAGTAACCACTTTGTGTCATACAGTTACCCATATTTCAGTGATTCAGTAACCAGTTTCTAATATACATTACAGTAACCATATTCTATAGTATGATATGCGAACAATTTTCTGTGATACAGATACTGATTTCTGTGATACGGTTTGATAATTTTGAACCACTGCTGTGATAGTCTCGGACCTCTTGGCATAAAATTCAGTGAAACAGTACTGACATTTTGTTTCTTTGTTGGGATTTGGCAATCTGTTAAAGATGGAATACTCTGTGCAACTAAATGGACAAATGGTTAGCTCCCCTGAATCAAGAGATTCAAGAGACAATCCTAGTGAGGTAATATGAGTTACTTTCAAGTTTTTAAAATGTCATTTATTGTGATTTCAGAATATTATAGTCTTAGATAAGTAAGGATGTTTTGGAGGTAAAATAAACACCATTTATTAACTGAATTAAGTTTACTATTACAAAGATTAAAAAGATTATAATGAGAATTAAACAGATTTTGAATGCCAATGCTATTTTACCTTAACTATCAGAATTAAATTTCTACCTTAACATGACAATATTTTGATAAATTTCCTCATTTTTCAGGGTAACGTAGAATTTTCAACATTATCAAAGCTAAAGGGTTTAGCCAAAGATGATAAAACGGAAAATGCCATGTTACGATCACGCATCGATGAACAGTCACAGCTTATTATGATACTAAAAAATCGTGCTGATGAGGCATTTAGCAGGACATCAACACTTGAACGAATAAACAAAGAATTAACAGAGTTTCGAGACAATGCCCAAGAAAATATTAACCATGAAATAAGAAAGTTTAATATTTTAGATAAACGTTTTAACGACCTTGCTTCGAACCATGAAGAAATGATAAAGTATAAAGATGAGTATAAAAGAGTGAATGTGGAATTACGGCAAGAAAATGATCGTCTTAAAGACGAGAATGCACGATTGTTTTCTAAAGCTATAGTTGAGAAAGATGATAAAATAAGACTTTTAGAGGGAAAGTTGGCATCTGTGAAAGACCAGTATTCATCATTAGAGACAAAATACAGGTAAATTACATTATTATCGTAGTATAATGATTTGTAATGTTAATAAACTTATAATAACTCCAACAGTTTAGGCTTGTGGGAGTTACATGTATATAGCAATTATTTATAGCAGTTTATACCCAGGGATGGTGATCGAAGACAGTCACATGTAAACAACTTTTAATCAATAACATGCACAAATTTTACGTAATTGATTAATAATCAATTGTTAATAGATTCAATTATATGTGAACACGTCTTTGTTTCCAACAAAGCAGGCAAATAATTTAATGCTAACTTGTTATGATTGGATAATATCTTTTGTACTTAAATGCTAATACATGTAGTATTGTTTTGTCAGTACAATCCTTAAGTAGCTGTTTCAAATCTAGATAAATTTTACTTAAATATTATTTCTTCATTAATAAGAGCATGCTATTAGAATTACATATTATTATTTGTTTTGCATTAAATAAATGAATCAAAAATGTTGTTAAAGCCCTGGATGAACATCTAGGGCCTTTGTCAGCTACATTGGAAAAAAGTTTAAGCATAATCAAAATTTGAGAAATTTATTTGCATTATATGAATTATAAAGCAGTTCAAAACTACATTATATAATATATTTGTAGTGTAGACATGCCATAAAGAGAGGAATTAGTACATAGCAATGTTAGTCTCATAATATATTTGTAGTGCAGACATACATGCAATATAAAAGTGCCGCCAGTAAAGAATTGTACAAATCATCAGATTAAATCAAATTATTGATCAAGTGTTGGACTGTGAATCAGGAGACCCGAATTTAATTCTAGGAGGGTCCAGTTCATTTTCTTGATTGATCATGAAATACTTTTTATGGTCATTTGCACTGTACCTAAAACTGCTCTGACATTTTCAGACGTAATATCAGATCATTGCGAAAGCTTGGCACTAGTACTGCTAAACTGCTTGACAGCATGCCCTGAATAAAGGGACAATGAAGTAGCTAAATTATGCTCTGGTAAATTCAGTGTGGCTTCATGACCTAATCTGGAGGATAAACAAAAAAAAACAACAACAACAAAAAAAACACCATTGTACAAGACTAGTATTATGACATGCCATAAAAGAGAGGGTGCACATATATGTCATTTTATAGAAATCATATGCATGTTTTGTTTCAGTCAATACAATAGGTAGTTCCAGTAATTTATAGCATGTGTTGTATTGTAATGTTATATAAATGTTATAATTGTAGACAAGCCATACAAGAGGGAAGGGCTAGAGAAGAGACATTACGGCAAGAAATTCAAGCTATTCAAGATAAGATGAAAATAGACATTAAAGCATTGCAGCATAAATTATCTGATACAGAGGAAAGACTTAAAGGTACACTAACAAGCATTTTATGAATAATATGTGTCCTGTATTGATTTGTTATTGAAAATGTGCCCATTGTAGACCAATTCACTTTAACCCTTGGAGTGCTTCTGGTAGTAATAACACACCTAAGGCACCACTGACCCACAGACTAAGGTCAGAAGCCTGTATATCTTGACTAAGCAGTCTGCCTTGACTATATCTGTTAAAACCAAAAGTATCTGACTCTTACAGTGCACTGTCCGGCTAGAGCATTAGTGCGTATCGTTAAAAAAAAAACTGGCAGTTTATTTAAGAAAAGATCACTTTTACTTGGCATGCATGCAGCTTCTCATAAATAGTTTATTCATTCTTTATTCAAATTAGAATTTCATAAATTTCAATACATTTCTGTGATGAAATTTTTTTTATTCGAAGATGAGCATAGTATATATTTAATGCATATATTATAGGTGCTAATTACAAGTTACAGAATCAGATTGATGGTAGACAGAATGCTGTATCAGAAGCTACCAGTAAAATTCAGCAATTAACAAAAGAAAAAGATGAGCTTTTAGAACTTGCCATGCAGAGAGGAAAAATTGTTCAGGTATTTATGTGATATAGAATAGAAATGTCTGTCAATGGTTTAATGACAAATCCTATTGTCAGCTTAATATCTAATATTATTTCTTCTTCCATATCAAAGATTATCAAAAATAAAATAAAAGTAGTGTTTTGACTTTGTTTGTCCGAAAAACTTAGTAAAATAAATTTGCCAGGCTATTTTAAACAATGCTGTTTATTTAATATCTTTTTTTTTTGTGGCAAAGAACAAATTGGCATTCTTAACCTTCTTACATACAAAATAGTAGAAATGTTAAGAGGGATGTATATTCTAAACCAAAACTTGTGGTTCAACAGCAAATTTAATTATGTGAAAATGAAATGAAAGGCTATAAAAGTTTATTTTCTATTCACATAAATGCATGTGCTGTTGTGGATATATTAGGCTGTTGTATTTACACCAGAGAGTAAAGCTTTTTTTCCACAGACACTTGGGGGTGTTGAGTCCATAAATGATTTTGTAGTATTCTTTTAGAGATGAGAAAGATATGACGTTGATTTAAGTTTTAATTTGATTTACAGAAAGAACAGTCGGACAATAAAGTGCTAAAAAAGAAAATTACGGACATGGAAAAATCAGTGTTTGAAATGCAAGAGAAATTTGAGTAAGTTTTTGCATTCATAATGTTTTCTGTTTTTGTTATGACATTACTAACCATCTAATATAAAGATTATGTAAGGTTCCTGACGTAATACATTGTACTTGGTGTTTGGAATGTAGAAACTTTACTACATACTAGTTTGTTTAGGCAAGTAGATATTTTAATTCAGTATGACAAGGGGCCTCTGTGGCTGAGTAGTTAAGGGTGCCAGATTCAAAATTTTTGTATCCCCAATGATGGATGTTTTGGTTGAAATCCAGTGAGAATCTTTGGATTCTTTCATGAGAAGAAGCTATCCAGTCAGCTTATGGAAAGTTGGTGGTTTTACTCAGATCCCTGTTTGTGCCTGACACATGCATATGGGAGTGCTTAAGGTCAGAATTCCATTCTCTTGATGTAAATCTAGAACTAGTATGACCTGTGCAAGTTGTTTATGTAACTAAAACCCTTATAAGGAAATAAAAATGTTTTCAACTAAACAATGTAATTCTTAGATGAATCTGTGGCCAAGTGGTTTAAGGTTTGTTGACTTCACACCAATTGCCACTCATCACTTTTGATTATTTCAATAGACACCACTCTGGGTTTATTTAATAAGAGGAAGCTATCCAGCTAGCTTAAGGAACATCTTTGGTTCTATATGGTTCTACTCAGGTGCTGACCTGTTCCTAAAATAATGATCAGTGGGGCAACAAAGATCTTCCTCCGATAATAAAGCTGGACAGTTGCCATATGACCATTACTGTGTTGATATGACTTTGAAAAAAAATTCCAGCTACCTCTCATCCCCATTCTCTTGTTCTTCTAATGTAATGTAAGAAGTTTTAAGATTATTATTATGTCAATATTTATTACAGACGTGAAGCTGCAGCTGTCAATGCCAACAGAGCTGTTAAAAAGTTACGAGATGATCTTGATGATGCTGAAAGCAGAGCAAATGATGTCACCAAGGTAACGTTAATATATGAAAAATTTCTGTAATTAAAAGTAAAACCTGTGATAAAGGCCATTTTAAAGTAAAGATGTAGAAAATTTGAATTTCAAGCATGCATTAATTACCATTTCCGATCAATTTTTGATCAATTATGCATTGTCATCTGCTTTTAGAGGCCATCATAGATTTTTAATAATCTGAATAGGTTTTTGATAACAGGTTTGACAGCATTTTTGACCATAACTTACTTTTTTGTACAAGTAATTTATTTAGAATATTTTATGTGGTTATTCTTTGAACAAATTTTTATTATAAATTCTATAGAGGACACATAGATCATGAACACTTCACATATAATACTGTCCAGGATATTCTTTGAATCTGATTTCCTACTGTCCTCTATCCTGGATAGTCTTTGCTTCTGACTTCCTACTGTCCTCTATTATGGACATTCTTTGGTTCTGACCTCCATTTAGGACAACAGGATTTTCACAGCTTTATAGGACATTTAATACCGCCTCCGTGGTCGAGGGTTTAGAGTCGATGACTTCTAATCCAGTTACCTCTCTGGCGTGGGTTCGATCCCCGGGAGATGCTTTGGTAGTTTAGCACAGAGGAAGGTAGTGTAGTACTGGTGTAACTCTCCAGGAACGATGGTTAGAAAACTACCTGCCTATATGACTGAAATACTGTTGGGAAAAGGCGTAAAATGAAACAAACAAACAAAAGTCTTGAACTTGTGACTTGGACCTTAACATCATTGTTACGTTAAAAGGTTAAGATTTTTAGAGAAGGAAAATGCCTATTATGATGTCATACTTTTTGTATACTCATTTTTTTGTGAAAAAAGTAATTTAAGGATAAAACAAAATTAGTTTTAGGAAATATTCAGCTTCTGTGTCTTTTTTCTGATTTGATATTTGAAATTAATCTTTATATATTTCTTAATATATAGCTCAAACATTTGATATGATAAAGCATTTGCATGTATAATAATGTATGTGATATGTTAAAAGCATGATAGTAAGTCAACTGTATTGGGAAATTTAAAATCATCAAAGTTTTCAATTCTAAAGAGTTCAGTAACCACAGAGTTAAGGGTAAATATCATATGTTGTCAACTCACTTTGTGTATGTATGTGGATCACATATTGAATTGATGAAGCCATTGTGTCATGCATGACTAATGATAAGAAAATTTATACGATGTTTCGTCAAAATATATCTTTCATAAATTTTTACGATGTTTAGTTAAAATATCTATTTGCAAACACATATATTTGATTAAAGTCTATATCAAAGGTTGACAGCAAAACTGCAGTAACTTATATGAAATAAAGAAGGATTTACAACAGTCTTGCAGTCAACTGTCAAATATTCAATAGCTTTTTGGAACCACTCTTGAGTCTGTTTTCTGGGCTAACCACTGACCAGTAATGGTGCCAAAGTAGGATGCATGCTTGTGACCACTGAGAAAAGCTAGGACAAACACTTACACATATGTATTACGACCACTTCCTTAACTTTAAGCGCTAAATGTGTAAATAATTTTTTCACAGATAATTTGTTACCACTTAGCATGGAGGTAATAGATTATATGATTCATTTTAACAATTTTCTTATTCAAATGACATTGCTTAGTGCTAAAGCGCTAAATGTGTTGATAATTTTTTCACAGGTATCTTGTTATCACTTACCTTGGAGATAATTGATTATATGATTCATGTTAACACTACAATTATTCATAATGGCATTGCAGGATGGCCCAATAAACACTTAAAACCCAAGCTGGAAACTTTTCTTACACCCATGATCATAACTAGAAACTTAACGTTAAATTCCTTCCTTTGAAGATTGAAGTTTGGCTATTTTTCATTCACATTTAAATAGACATGCATCAACATTTGCATGATCTTTATCAAACTTTCATACTCTCAGATGTCTTTTTTTTTAAAATGTTCACCACTTCTGAAATAAACTAAGCATATCAAATATGTCTTTTTCATGAACAAAATGTAATGTATATATGTAATCTTTGTTTAATGCCCATTATGGTACAAAAAGTAGGTTTTACCATTGAGCTTTGACTTCAAACATGACAACAATCATGCCCCTTAATGGTATAATTTTGAAGCACCAATTGGTTGTTACCTTTACCTCTGTGCAATTTCCCTATTTATTTTCCCCAACCCAAAAAACTTTGAATCAAAAGTAGGTCACTAAGCACCTGAACATACAGTAAAATTTGACAATAATGAAGGAAATAGCTATTATCAATTGCAATTGGTGCAAAGCAAGATATTTGTAGTACTTCACAGGTGCTTGCAAGCGCCCTTAAGTTAACAGGACTTTCCACTATAAAACATTTGATTTTAGGAAATTGTGAAATGATTTTAGATTTAAGTAACAAAAAATTTAGTCAATAAAGAGCATATTAATTGTCCATATTCAAAACGTTATTTTTGTACAGGAAGGAAAAAGGCAGCAGAGGACAAGAACTAACATTTTTTTAAAAAGGTTCCCAAACAAAGATGGACACATTTTCAGAGTTGTTAAAACATCATTAAATGATACAGGCTTCCGTTACTCTGTTGAGAAAAAATAGGTGAAGAAGTGAAAGATAAAAGTACTGTCACTGTACGCTAATGTTGTATATAAATGTCTTGTTGATAAAAGTCAGAAGTTGATTTTGTATAACTTATAATTAGATCCTACATATAAAATTAAAAAAAACCAAAAAAAAACCAAAACAAACAAAAACATAAAAGCAAAAAAGGATAAATAAAAGCCACATTCAAACTGCTGCTCAGCTTTGCTTGCAATGTTGTCAGTTGTGTCATCACAGACAGTTTTGTTGCTATGGTTACACAATATACAGTTCATTAAAAAACAGTACTGGAATGAATGTAACCTATAGCTTACTCAGGTGGCAACAGATTTATATACCCATTAAATGACCAGTGCAGATCAAGATCAGATGGCACAAATTTGCTGTGTGCGTCAGTACATGAACTTATATTTTGATATTTTTGGGAAAATAACAAGTCAGAATGTGCAAGCTGGCCTGGCTCAAAACTGGTAGTATTTAGGCTGATCACTTTTGGACATGGGCCTCACCAAATACCCATTGGATTGGTTTTCTGCAATAACCATTGGAGTGGGAATTTTAGTAGGGTTTTCTGCAATACCCATTTGATCAAGAATTTTAGTAGGGTTTCATTTTTGGATAATAAAAATTATGATACTGGAAAATGTTGTGAGGGTATGATATGAAGATTTACACACTAGTTATTGGTAATTCTATGAAACAGATTTAAGCGAATTTGGCAAAAGGAGCAATAGTGTAACTATACATGTTCCTAATTGCCAGTTTATGGTGCTTTAAATGCAAGGAAATATAAAATGTGTGGAAGAATGTCATAAACGCTTCATTGTTGATAATGATGTAATTATTTTGTTGCTTTTCCTTAATTGTATTAATTTTGTAGTTCAAGTTGGGATATATTTTGTGTCAAATGTAAAATTCTGTGTCTTTCACCCATTTAGCTTTGTCACATCAAAAGTTATTGTGAATGTAAGACACTGAGGTTTTTTTCAGTTTATACTTTATAAATTGTTTATTATGCCCCCACTTCAAAGAAGAGGGGGTATATTGCTTTGCATTTGTCTGTCTGTCGGTTCTTCGGTCCGTTGACCAAATGGTTTCTGAGTGATAACTAAAGAACCCTTAGGCCTAGGAACTTTAAACTTGGTATGGTGATTGGTCATGACCAGTAGATGACCCCTATTGATTTTGGGTCACATTGACCTTGTAGGTAAAAACGGTTTCCGATCAATAACTAAATAATGCTAAGGCCTAAGAAATTCAAACTTGGTATGGTGATTGGTCATAACCATTTAATGACCCCTATTTGTTTTAGGGTCAAGGGGTCAAAGGTCAAGGTCACATTGACCTTGTAGGTGAAAACGGTTTCCGATCAATAACTAAAGAACGCTTAGGCCTAGGAACTTCAAACTTGGTATGGTGATTGGTCATGACCAATAGATGACCCCTATTTATTTTGGGGTCAAGGGGTCAAAGGTCAAGGTCACATTATTCTTGTAGGTAAAAACGGTTTCCGTTCAATAACTAAAGAAGGCTTAGGCCTAGGAACTTCAAACTTGGTATGGTGATTGGTCATGACCAGTAGATGACCCCTATAGATTTTGGGGTCAAGGGGTCAAAGGTCAAGGTCATATTGACCTTGTTGGTAAAAACGGTTTCCGATCAATAACTAAAGAACGCTTAGGCCTAGGAACTTCAAACTTGGTATGGTGATTGGTCATGACCAGTAAATGACCCCTATTGATTTTGGGTCAAGGGGTCAAAGGCCACATTGACCTTGTAGGTAAAAACAGTTTCTGATCAATAACTAAAGAATGCTTAGGCCTAGGAACTTCAAACTTGGTATGGTGATTGGTCATGACCAGTAGATGACCCCTAATGATTTTGGGGTCAAGGGCTAAAGGTCACATTGACCTTGTAGGTAAAAACGGTTTCCGATCAATAACTAAAGAAGGCTTAGGCCTAGGAACTTCAAACTTGGTATGGTGATTGGTCATGACCAGTAGATGACCCCTATTGATTTTGGGGTCAAGGGGCAAAGGCCACATTGACCTTGTAGATAAAAATGGTTTCCAATCAATATCTTAAGAACGCTTAGGTTAGGAACTTCAAACTTGGTTTAATGATTGGTCATGACCAGCAGATGAACCCTATTGATTTGGGGGTCAAAGGTCAAGGTCACATTTACTTGAAGTGAAAATGGTTTCCACTCTATACTTAAAGGATGCTTAGGCCTAGGAACTTCGAACTTGGTATGATGATTGGTCATGACCAGTAGATGACCTCTATTGATTTTGGGGTCAAAGGTCAAGGTCACATTGACCTTGTAAGTAAAATGGTTTCAGATAAATAATTAAAGAATGCTTAGGTCTAGGAACTTCAAACTTTATATGATGATTGGCCATGACCAGTAGGTGACCCCTATTGATTTTGGGGTCAAAGGTCAAGGTCACATTCACCTTGTAAGTAAAAACGATTTTCAATCCATAGTTAAAGAACACTTAGGCCTAGGAACTTCAAACTTTATATGATGATTGGTCATGACCAGTAGATGACCCCTATTGATATTTGGGTCAAGTGGTCAGTGTCAAATTGACCTTGTACTTTAAGATGGTTTCTGACCAATAACTCAACAAGTCAAGTTGCCTTGGTTGATATTTTTATATTAAACTAAAAATGCTTTTGGTATACACATTTGAAGGTCTTATGTAATATAAGAACTTGGCTGTCATTAATGAGGCCTACATGATTCTTAAAGTTTATGCATATTTTATTTGGTAAGATTTGTAATAACTTAAATTGCTGCACACAACCTATAGGGTTACAATAATTATTACCTTGTGACTAGTCATGACCAGTAGATAACCCTTATTAATTTTTTGTTCACTGGATCAGAAGTCATGCATAATAACCTGATCACATGACTAATTGGCTGCCCATAGGGGGCATACATGTTTTACAAACATATCTTGTTGTTTTTAGTTTGAAATGATTTGCTTTAATTTATATTAAACTGAATTTTGATTAATGATTCATACACAACAGTTACATGCTTATTGTACTTTACTTCTCATAGTAAATGACTAAAAATGTCAATTAAGAAAAATGAAAATTTTAAATCCCTGGTACATGTAGTACAGTGCAAACCCTGCAGTGAAGCCTTATGTCTGGCAAAAAATTTAAACAGTACCAATTCTTTCCCAAAATATTTAAGCTTCACACATAATTTAACCTCGTAAAATGGATAGTTTTTATCAAACAACTAAAAGATTTGTCTTTTAACAGGCTGGTGCTGATTTCACAGATGTACTGTAATTGGATAATGACATTTTATTATATCTATTGAATTATACATAGACTTAATTAAATGTGAACTTTTATTATCTTTTTCAGGAATTTGATGCATATAAGAAACACACTACAGCATTGTTGAAAAAAGAGAAGGAGCTAAATGAGAGACTGAGACATTTGTGTGGATAAACCTTTATGTAGTGTATGATAAACAGGAACAATAGTGATGAACGTTAATGTATAAAGTTGTTTTATGATAAACTGGAACAGAAGTGATCAATTTTTATGTAAGTTGTTGTATGATAAACTTTATCAATAGTGATAAACTTAAATGTGAGTTGTATGATAAACTGGATCAATAGTGAAAAACTTTGATGTAAGTTGTTATAAGATAAACTTGCAAAATAGTGATAAACTTTTTTAACACAGATTTTAATGCAAGTTGCTGTATGATAAACTAGACAGTTGTGATAAACATTAATGCAAGTTGTTGTATGATAAACTAGAACAGTAGTGATAAACTTTAATACAAGTTATTCAATGATAAACTTGAACAACAGTGGTAAACATTAATGCAAGTTGTTGTATGATACACTTGAACATTAGTGATAAACTTAAATGTATTGAGTTGTATATAAACTTGGACAACAGTGATAAACTTTAATACATTTTTTTTAATTAGAAAGCGAACAATAGTTATAACATTTTTATGGTCAACATGTCATATGAAAAACTAAACACCTGTAAGAACTAAGATGATACAAAATATTGTTTTTCTTCCAGAAAAAAGAAACAGTCACTGTGATTGAAATATTTGACAATAACAAACACCAGTGATAAGTTCCGTTTTTAATGTAAAGACAATTTATCACTGAATATTCAGATTCTTTGAATGGATAAAAATATCATCGCTTGAAAAACGTTTTGTTCTAAGTGCCAGTTTATTGTTTTTGAGAAAAAAGCATGTAAAGATTTAGTATTGCATAACTTTTTTATTTATTGTCGGATTTTGAAAATTTAAAAACTACTAAACGTGGAGTCGGGAGAACAATTCAATAACGTTAAAGATATGTGGATTTTAATATTTTCTTGCTTAAAAACCTAAAAAAACATTTGGAGATAGAACAGTCCTTGTAACTTTTTTTCAAAAATTGTTAAAATCAGAGTGTTCAATGTGACTTAGAACATTATGTCTTTTAAGTTGAATTGATTTATATAATATAAAACAGTATGTTTTATCTTTAAAAGGCTGCCAAAAATGCTCTCGGCTAATTATCCCTTGATTAGTTGACTTTTACACTACACTATTTCTTAGACCATATGTATCTAACTACATTAACTATGACATTTGAAATCTTATTAAAATCCTTAAATCCATTACATTGTTAAATGACATTTAACCACATAATTTAAATAAATAAAGATAAAATACTCACATAAATTTTGTAGACATTTTATCTCTTTTTATAACTTCGGCCATATTCAAAGTGATTCAATGTCTGGAAAAAAGAAAGTTACAGCCGCAAACGGGAAAAGAAAACTTTCAACTTTTCTAGAATGCTGGGAAAATTCTTTCAAGATTTTTTTATGAAAATTCAAAGATGGTCAAATTCAAATTCCTTCAAAAGTATGAAATAGTAGTAATTATTTTGTTATGCGCTTTACACGTTCTGTGGTTGGTAAGAAGTTCTTATAATTGAAGGTAGGTAAAAAATGTTTCTATAACTTAACATAGGCAATGAAAACATATCTGCTAGAAAAATACCTTAAAAGTGGAGCAGGCATTGACTTTATATTTTAAAAGTGTCATATTTAAAGATTGTTCGTGTACAAAAACATTACAAACATAATGCTATATAAATATTCATTAATTAAGAAATTCAAAGTCAAATTACAAGACAAACAAAATATACGTATAAGAATATTTTTCTTCCTTCTGTCTTTGGTATAAAATGTGTTTACTTTAAAGCAATCTATTAGTTATGAAACATTAAGGCATTCGAAAACATATATTATATGTAAACGTATTATAATTATATCTATAAATTTTCTTAAAGGCTTTTTTTGCCCCAGAAATGCTTTTATCTTAATCTCTCAAAAGCCTGATATTGGAGTTCTGTTATAGTTTCCAAAATATTCAACATTGGTCAGTTTACCTAAACCATCTTATGCTTTTGTTTCATATTGGCAATGAGTACAGTCAATTTTTCAAACTCATATGTGTCTGTTATAAAGATAAATAATTGGTTTCTGAGACAGAATGTACCTTATGTTAAAGAAACTTTAAGACATATAACAAGTTTTCTTTTTACGAATTTGTTTGATGAAATTGTATGATCACAGTTGTTTCTATCCGAAAATACACATCCGAAATTACTTTCAAATCATGATCAGTTTTGCTTGCTGTTTAATCACATGCAGTAAATTTACAGGACTTAATACTAAAATGTCAATGATTGAAGGGAATAAATGAATACATAATATCATTCAATACTTATATTTAGTATTAATATATTAAATAAACAACAAACCATCTAACTCAAAATGTTTCGTACAACATGGCGGGTGTCCTGCTATCACGTGATTTGATGCTATGTTTTGATACGGTAATTTTGGATTTAGTACAGTATGTTGCATATATCCCATAGGTCATGTGACATTTATCGATGATATGATTAGTCCAGTAAGTTAGAACAGTCTATTTATCAAGACATAGTAAATTTGAGGAGATAGAACAGGATGGTTTCGTTGTTATTTATTAATGAAGCTCTGAAGCACTAATATAACATACCAAGGAGATAGAACAGTCCATTACGGACAAAATTGTGTATTTAACTTGTTTTTGGAAAAATTGAAGATAGAACAATACAGTTTTCAAGCGACGATATCTTAACTTTATGGAATTTCTATTTGAAAAAATGATTTTGCTTTGATTGAAATTTTAAGTATTAATTGGATATTTATGTAAATTGCTTTTAAGTTCAATAATTATTTATAATGATTAGTGCTATGCTATGTGATATTTTATGTAGTACTTTGAATTGATAGAAATATACAAAAATAAAGATGTTTTAATAAAAGCTATTTTTCTTCATTTAGTGTGATGAATTATTCTGACCGAATTATTTTAAGCATTAAACTCAATGTTTTGACATGATAAGGTATCCTTGTAATTTCTCTACTATTTTATGAATGTGATGTCGAGGATGCATGACGTCATTGTTTATGTGTTTTAGAGGGATATATTATATATGTATTAAGAAGCTAAAGTTAATATCGATGTCTAAAAGGATAGGATTGATTTTTTAATTTAAGGTTTAAATCATACAAAATTCTCTGAATCATAATTGAATTTCTAGGTGGTCTATATGGAGTGTTTTAAGCGAAACTGCTATATCTGCTTCTGTTTCTTTATAAAGATGGACCAGTTTCGCTCTAAGCACAGGATATGGTTTTGTAAACCTTTCTGTTTTCACCGTTATTCAAAATCTTAACTGACTGTTGTTACGATAACTCAAGACATGCAAACTCGTCAGCTTACATTTCTGTAAGACAAACATGTGGAAAGTCATGAAGTTAGAGTTACACAGCTTGAAATAATTCACTTGGATCAGAAAACGAAAGCTTGTGCCCAATTAGCCGAATTGCCAATAAATGCCTTATCCTATTGAAAACTTTAAGCAACAGGAACAATTCTAAACACATTTAACCAATTAAGGTAAACTTTGAAAGCTTAAATTTGATTTTTACCAGGGTATATGTAACAGAAAGAGCATCGAAACACGAGGCTATCTGATTTGTACGAGGGGGCGTAGCCCCCGAGTATGAATCAGATTGCCGAGTGTTTTGATGTTCTTTCTCTTTTATATCATAGTCAAACATAAAAACACGTTCCCTGATACCACAATATGAAACCCCACAAAAATATAACCAATGAACGAGCATCTGAATATGATATTTCCATCGCTATCCCTTTCTCTGTCGTCACAATATGTAAACCCCGGACAAAATGAACTAATCAATGGGCATTCTCTGGAGTGCGGCTAACTTACACCTGCACTCCAGTTAACGCACTGTGCATGTATATGTATACGATTTAACTCCGTCACATTTTCAACAGAAAGGTCCCCAAACTATGATACAAATTTAAGTTTATATCAAGGCGTTCCTATTTTACCTTAAAGCAGGACATTTCAACCCTACTTAATTTACTTTTACAATTTATTATACATTTACAAATCAATATTTACAAAACAAATTCAAAAATATATTCTTATGTCACAACTTAAAAAGTTAATAAATATAGCACATTTGATGTATCTTCCCTTCTTCAGAAGTCATTTATAAACACGTAAGTTTAAAATGGCCGCCATGGAAACCTCTTTTATCACGTGACCAATTTCATTTTCCTTTCCGTTTCCAATTGTAACAACATCTATACAATTGTCTGTGTCATTTTCGTCGTTCTCTGAGCAAGAATCATTCACCTTATTGTAATCGGACAAGGAACTGTAGGAATCACTGGAAGATGTGGTTGCAGCTGAAGAAGAAGTGCTTGAGAAGCCTGAAGAAGAACTGGAATCGAGACTCGCGTGAACAAATGATGACGTAAGTTCCGGAAGTGCTTGAGTACTGTTTAAAATTGGTGAATATCCTGATAGATTTAATTCTGGTAATGACGTATTAAAGGTGTCACAATTGGTCTTTTAAGGGGAGTAGAAAGACGATTGGTTTGTATGTTATTTGTTGCTGCTCCCCATGTTACTGTAGCGAGTAATTGCTGGTCCCTGTCGTCTGCTGTTCGTGAGGAATGAATTATGTAGATGATTGCTAAAGGGAACCAGTCACGGCGTCACTGTAGTTCTTGTATTCTTTTCCAAAATACGTCACAGGCTTCTCGTGCACATGCCTTGTAGGCTGCGTTTATAGGCAGCGAGCTTCTGCTGCAATGATAACAGATTGTTGTTGCTGTTGTAATTGCGTGAGGTGATACACCGTCAAGTCTAGAATGTCTGCTTTGTCCACTCTTGTCATTGGAGCAGTCTGAAGAATAAATGAAAAAAAAATTAGTACAAAATGATTTTTTTTCTTACCTTTACAAGATACTAGAATATTAAGTTTTTAACCAATAATACAGTATATTAATAAAAGTTTATTGTCGAAATTGAAATTATCATTCTGCCAAACTTGCATGCATAAATTTAAATCTATCCTCGTAGAATATACCGAGGAGATGGTTCTTATTGTATTTACGGTAGATCACTTTTTGAAACTCCTGAATAATACTTAAGGAAGAAAAAGCATCATCATTTAGTAATTCAACAAGTCTGTTGAATTTATTATTGCAAAAATAGATACATGCATAAAAAAGTATATTTTTTATCTATCATGAGGAAATATACCGAGGAGATAGTGCTTAAAATCGTAACTTGCTTTATTTTTACGGCAGAACACCTTTTGAAACTACTGTATAATACTTACAGAACAAAAAGCGTCATCTAATAATAATTACACAAGTCTGTCAATAGAAATTTGGACTTAGGCTACATGTTGTTGAATAGTCTGTGCAATTAGCGACTTCAGATGTGAAATACTTTTATTCATCCTTTCCCTCCGTTTTTTCTCAATCATTGGCTTCCGGATCTGAAAAAAAATAAAATAAAATGGATTTAGTCTCATTCGTAATGTT